TTGCTACATTATTTTGCTTCAATAAACTACACCAGAAGTACACAAAACCAGTCTGTGTCATCTGATTATCAGTATCTTAGGAAATATTACATTTACTTCTTACAGCAAAGCTCAGCCATTAAAAGAATCAATTGGTCAGTAAAATCAATTAATGTAATTTTGAGCAATAAATTCTAGCTTAAAAAAACCAAACAAAGCAAGAACGAACTCTTCAGCTGCTGAAAACTTTATTCTTTTGTTACTTCACACACCTGAGCTATGAAAGCTTGCACAAAAAATAAAATAAAATCAAATCCCAGTACGGTTTTACCGATGTTAAAACTGCAGCCTCATATTTTTTTCATCATTTACCGTAAATATGAAGAGGGGGAGGAAAACTGCCAATGAATCTACTGAAAGCACTTAACTTTTTGGAGATAACGTCATTATTGTTGCAACGAATATTGGCTGACATGCTTTGACTTTTTTTTAAGAAATGCCAATTTTATTCAAATCTTTCTGCAGAAATGTGTCCCATTTCAGGGAGAAATTCACTGAGAAGTGAATTTCAGTTCACACCCTTTTGCTATCTCATCAAGGAAAAAAAAAATCCTTCTGTTCTTACTGAACAGTGCAAGGGCCTGACTTTGTCTCCTCCACCTAGTGGGAATGCACCAAACAACAGGCCACTGAGAGAGAAAAAGAAGGGATTATAGAAACACATATTCAAACTTCCCTTACTAGCAAAACTCAAAATAAAATACTTGTAGCAGCCCCAGCTGCAACAGGGAGTGCAGCAATATGAAGAGACGAACATTTGGGTGGAATGTAAGAAGTAAATCCTCCAGCAGAGGAATGAAGTCCATCAGCACGTGGAAGGTGTACGATGTAATACGGCTTGCAGAACTAGATCCTGTGAGAAGCTGAGTGGCTTCGGCAAGATGCTATTTGAGTGTACCCAGCACCGAGGTGTGAGAGCCATGAAGCCCCCAGATAGGTCTTGCAGATTTAAGTCCCTAATGCAATATAAAACATATTTACTCCAGTTAGTGACCTGAGAGCTTGCTTTGGCTTAGTTTCTCCCCCAAGCATTTGCTGTTAAGTTAATTAAGCATTTAAAAATAACAGTCTCTTGCTTTCCAGAGACTCCACATAAATACTACTCTGTCTTCTTCTAAGGGCCAGATTTTCTGCAAGGGTAAATCAATACAGTTTCACTGATTGAGGATCTGGCCTTAAAAGTCTATCCAGTGCATTAAAACCAGCGCAGCATGACATATGCCTTGGCAGTAGAACAATTCTCCAGATTAATATTTGAGGGAAATTTGGCAGTAAAAAAAAAAAAAAAGAAAACCTGTATTTTGAAATGCTGCCATTTCTTTAATCAGTGCTGACCACCACTGTTTCTCCTCTTGTGAACTGTACAGTTATGGCTGGGGGGGGGCGGGCGGTTTCTCCCGGCCTTGTATACAGGCTGTGGCAAGGCGGGGGGTTCTGCCGTCCGAGTTGGAGTGGAGCAATACAAAATGAAGCCCACCATGATGATAATGAAGGACAGGATATAAAGACCTGAAAACTAGCAGAGGAAAGAAAGAAAAACGTTAAGTCTTGTCTGATGTAAAAACATGTCAATGCTGCCTCATTTTAAGAATGTGAAAGCTACCCTTCCTTTTTAAAAATATTTTAACAAAGATTATCACAACAATCTATATTCAGGTCTGAAAATCAAAATTCAACAGCTCCATTCACTGATAGGCTCAAGCTGCTGGCTGGTTTTCTCTGCATCTCATTCTCAACACTGTTGGCCAAGGAGTTTCCTTAGGCCTACATACAAGAATCTTAACAGAGAGAACAAACGGCTGCAAATACGGTGATACTGAAGGGTGGCTGTTTACACAGGTGAATGCTGAAACACTGTATCCCTAAGAGATTTTTGTTTCAGCACAGCCAAATATTTCAGGTCATGGCAAAAGATGAATCTCTCCAGCCTACTGCAAGCCACCAGAGTAGCTGGTTCTCTGCACAGCTCTCTTAACCACCTGCAGGGCTAGATAAATGTTATTACTGGACCAAAACTGGTTTGCTCTCTACAGCCAGCAAGTCCTTCAAGAGAGGGAGATGGGGGCGCCTTTTACAAGATCAGTATTTGTGCTCTGTCAAGAGTGGTATGAGATAAGAGTATGAACTGCCAAGGTACATCAGGCATTTGATTCACTTTCACTTGCCTGTTACAAGTCCAATAATTGTCAAGATTCATCCACCTTGACAGAAAAATAAATGCTTACTTTGTAACACCAGATTCAGTAATGCAAAGTGTTTGAGTTATCCACAGCCAGGAACACTTCTTAGCAGATTTGCTGAAGTCCTCCTTATTGCCTTTGCCAAACCACACTGATTAAACAGTAGGATGAAGGACACAGCACACTCTACATTCCACTGTCAATATTCCCTAACCTCCTTAGCTTCCTTAGACATGCTTGAAAAATATGTTCTAGTTTATGAAGCAGCAGAGCTGGATGAAATGAATGGTAGGACCTGGACAGTGGAATCTGTTCCAAAAAAGACTGAGGCATCTACAGTTAAGGCATTGCAATTCCTAGCTTGTAGTCACTTGGCTCGGAAACTGGAGGCACCATGCAAAAGGAAAAGCAGACTGGAACGCAGTGGCCTTGTGATACGTGGCCTCTCTCCCCACCTTGCTGGCTGTTTGCCTGGAGCAGCTTGGATCCAAGCGATCACTCTGCCCGTGAGGAAGCACCAAGCTCTGAAGATATCCTGATAGAGGCAGCAGCAGCGTCCATGGCCCTACCCATGCCTGACCCATCCCCATCAAACGGGCAGAGCTTGGGTCTGTATCAAGGCACCTGCAGAACTTCCCCGGAGTGCAACCTAAGGCCATGAGTGAACACGTGCTCGCATGCAAGGACACGTGGCCAGCAGGCAAGACTGGCTGGTCACCATAACTGCCAGACCCCCTCTCATAGTGCATACAAGGCAGAAGGCATCTCTGATCCTGCTCAGAATTAATTCCTCTGTGACTGGATACACAGTCACCAAGCCAGGGTGCCAAACCTGTTGCAGCATAGCTGTGATTCAGGGCCCGCCTATGCGTTTGCAGCTATTGAGACAGGTGAGCCTTAACCACACTGCTCCAACAGGCTTACTCTCCTTTTTCTTCTTTCTTTCATTTTTGGGGAGGGCTCAGTGGTCTTTTCCTGGGTTTTTGTCTTCCTTTTTTTTTTTTTTCATTTCAAATATTGCAGCAACTTCATTGCTTCAGGCACTGATTTCAGTCGTACCTCTGCAGCTTATATCCCCATACTCACTGTCAAGCCTAAAGACTACTTTAAATGTTACTGGAGGACTGTAACCCCATCTAGTGTCTGTATTTGAGTATACTCCCTTCCATACGAGTTTATACAACAAAAGCATTTGGAGTCCTTTTCTAATATCCCTTGAGGGATTACAGGTATCTATACAATGAGCTCATCAGGGAGAAGCACAGCAAAGATTCATTATGGAGTAAAAGAAAAAAAAAAGAGCTCATCAAAACAGGTATGCAAAATTCACATTTCACCTTGAACAGATATGGTTGGAGCTGAAAAGTTGAGTGCATTAGCAAAATGCTGTGTACAAGTCAAAACCTCATCAACTCCTGGGCCCGGTCTCTGCTGTAGCCGCCACATGAGTGTGCCGCTGCTGTTTCAGAGCAGGCCCAGGCCACAGCAATTTGGAGCTCTCCGTGGCTCGCTCCGCTCTGCAGCCCAGACAAGCCTTCAGAGGCTTGCTGTAAAATATCATCTGGTAATGAGGACTAGAGAGCGATTCCTTGCATTTTTGTTTGTAGATTCCTGTGTCCAGGGTGCTTTTTAATCCAGGAAATGTCCTGCCTGGTTTCTTTGCCCCGTAGGTAAAGAAACTACAGGACTAACTTGGCAATTATTTTCTACTGTTAAGTGTTATGTTAAAACCAGTGTCAAAATCAGGTTCCCTCAGCTCTTGGTTCCCAAGCTATCTCTGATCCTCTGATCACTAAAGATGTGGCATTATTGCTGCCCCCCTTTTTGCTATTTCATTGTTTCCAACCACAGATGCAAGTTCCTTTGTTAATAAATATCTGAAATGCTCCCATAATACAATCCCAAAGTGTCCTCTAATTATTTTTTCCTTTTTGCTACCAGAATACCCCACAGTTAGCAACTATGGTATGATCTGCTCCCAGCAAAACATCTCCCCAAAATAAGCTAAAAATTCTGAAGAATAAAAGGTTATTATATTCCTTCCAAAGCTCTTTCTTACTTCTGCCTCTTTACTATTATGAATATAAATTTATAATCACTTCTTTAGTTAAGCCATCTGGGTGCCAAAATACATGTTTGGCAGGGACTTAGAAAGGATTTTTTTAATTGTTAAAATTTGAGTATGGTTCACTTCCTACATTCATTTTTAATGGATGCTTTGTAGCTTGGAGCATATTTTGGAACCCAAAACAGGGAGGAAAGCTGAGCTAAGAGACTCCAGAAAAGGAAAATCTAGCTGCTGTTGGACCCTACCATTACCAGACCTCCACACTGTAAAATAACTTGTCCTTCATTTTCAGAAACAAATCCAACCTAAAAGTTTCTGGCTCTCCATAATGCTGAAGAGAAAGCAACCACATGGAATAACACAAATTAAGTTCTTAAGCAAAGTTCACAAGCATCTCACTAAGCCCCTCCAGTCACCAAGTGACTGACTCAATTAGTCCAATTGCTGTAATGAGCTAGGTTCCCATAAATGATTCTGGATAAAACATGTGGGGTGCAATGAAATCTTTTCAGCACTGTCATTTAGCTTGAATAAACGCTACCAAAAATATTTTAGGGCGCAATAAAAGTAACTACCTTTTGGAGAGCGTACAGAACAATATATTTATCTGCATTTTTTTTTTTCAGTTTCTTTAATCTCTCCTTAGCAGTAGCACTGAGAGCACTTGATTCTTATCCTAAGATGTTGGTAATGAACAGATTAAGTTTCTAAAAGAAAATATTAATTTCTGTACATCAAGCCAAACTGCTCCCTTCTCAGACATCAAATGCCTTTCAGGACAGGGAGATTCAAACCCTCTCTTTGGACACTTGGAGAGAGGAACCAAATCTAACATATGGTTCCACACAGGGCTTATGGCAACTCTACCATTTGAACACCTTGGGCAATTGCTATCTCTTAACATTAACTCTAAAGTATTCCATCAAGTGTGAAATTGTTTGAAAATCACTATCTGCCTAATGGTGCAATGCTATGTAATAAATTAAGTATGACTCCTCCTGATTGACGTCTGCCAACAACGAGCAATACAAGCTGCAGAAATGTGTAAGTGCAAACAACTGTTCAGGGGCTTTTAAGAACGTTACGCTTTATTTATAATTTTTGGGTAAAAAGGTAACTGAAATTATAGCGAAAGAATGAAGGTACTTACCTTACAGAAAAAGAGGAAAAGCCCAAAGAACAGACTGTAGAGATCTGCAGTCAGAATACCCAGGTTGACGGAGGTTGCGCTGGTAACTTTAATCACTACTGGCATGAAGCTATACAGCCCAAACATGCACAGAGCAAAGACTGTGAAGAGCAATGCTGTAAAACAAGATGACAGTTTACTCCTAAGGTACAGAATAATGATTTTAAAGAACACCAATATTCTTCAGATGCTTTAAAACTATGAATTTTTATCTTTTAGGTTAAGGTCTCCTAAGAGATATGGGAATGTAAACTTAAGAAAAACATGGCAGAAATACTCCTTTTCCAAGACTACCCTGTACTGGAAAAATTACTGTATCTATACAAGTTCTTGTTCTATCCTAGTTAACGTTGAAGAAATTTAGAGCCACATTTCTTAATAACAAACAGTTCTGTTGAGGTCAAAATGTGTCACAAAATCCATTTTTCCAGTATTTCATTTAGGAAGGACAACAGAAAAATGTTCTTGCGATGTTCCAACACCAAAGATGTCTCTTAATTAAACAGGTTTAATTTTTACTTATTTCAATTTATTTTGAAAAATTATTTCATTATATATGTATTATGCAAAACTTGGGCTCAAAGGTTCAACCCTGCAAACCCCATCTCTTTGCTGAGCTGCAAAGTTCGCAGAGAATAAATTTGTGACAATATAATATGAATGCTGCTTAATATCCAGAGAAAGAAAATGAAAACCCCAGCATTCAAAGTCTAAGCAATTATCATTTTCCAGTGTTCTGTAAAAACATACATCATTTCGTCAAACACATACCAATTTCCCAGTTCCACTGAATTCTCATTATCTCCCTATGTTCCACAATGGCTCTAGAGTTAGAGAAAAGATATAACACAGTAAAAAAGAAACACATCATATTCAAATAGAGAATTTAATTACCAAAATATATAAGAAACATTTTGATTTATAATCCCTTAATTTTTTGTTTGAAATTTTATTGAATGACAGTGACTCCAACATCTAACAAGCATGAAAAAAAGACTTGAAAATTAAAGTGTCTGAAAGTCAAGAATTTTATTTATTTTTGCACTTTTTGTTTAATTCTTATGCCTTCTTCCCAGGCTTTTTCATCCTTCAGGGATTCAGTTTTATTTGATACACCATTTGAGGAAATTATTAACTATAATGATGAGAAATGAGGAACATAAAATTCATTAGGTAGACTTAAGTGCATGTGGTCTGTTATTCTAACGTGGTTATTTGTAAGAGGATACATGGCTTCATTTTAAACTGAAGTTCAATATGGAAGACCTCATGCTAACAATCATCTCCTAAACTTTTCCACAGAGAAAATCCATTAAGAAATGCATTCCTGTCCTCAGCATACTGAGTGTCCTCATGAAGATCAACAAAATCAAAAACACAGCCAAGTATCGTATGTGTTCAATTGCAGGATTTCAGCTTTAGAATTGCTGTAATAAGAGTAGTGCAAATAAAATGCATATAAAATGGATGCTGATCAGCAACAAAAATAAAATTCAAGCGGAAAGACTCCCATATACACCAAATGTATACATAACAAAGAATTAATTTAATAACAACATCATCATTTCATGGTAGACAAGCAATCATCTGTAGAATATTCTTAATTAGTTTTAAAATAAATATTAGATCCTTACAGCTGTAGACCGCTGATAATAGTCCCAAACAAGCCCAACATTCCTAGAAACTCCACTCTGCTCAGATTTTTCACAATGTATTCCTCACTCACATTAGAAATGGCATACAAAGAAGAACCAAGAAGTACTAAGACATCTCCAATCACCACGTCACTACCTGTACAGAAATATTAATCCACAATAAGGGTAATGCTGCAAACACTTTTTAACTTTCCTTAAAAAGACAAGCAAATTTATCTCTAACATCTCCATCTTCCTAGCGCCTTCCAGGGTAAGGGGAAAGGAAACATCTCCCGTGTGTGCAGATGAGTGGCTCGGTGTCTGAGCACAGACTCTGCTACCTGCCCACCTCACCCTGCGCAGCCTGGCATGAGCTAAACCCAGCATTTAAATCTCTTCCTGCCCAAGCCACTGCTGTATAGGCTGGTCCAATTCTACTTCTGCTGACCTCAGGCACCACAGGGACTCGAGAAAATTCCTGGTTAGAGATGCTCTCCGCCTTTCTGAATATTAGCCCCACTTTTGCAGTAAGGCCCGATCCAAGCCTTGCTAAAATCAGTCTATTGATTTCAGCGGGACCTGGACTCAGCTTCAGGTTTATGACAGGTCTTAAGTGGGCACAGCAGACGGGTGGTATCGTGTGTCCTGCTGCGATTTATTTATACTGTGCAAATGGGACTCCCTGTGTTACAATCACTCATCAAGTAAAGGTTATGCATCAGCTAAATAGCAAGAGGATTGCTGTTGTTTAAACCCTTGAATTGATTTAAAATTTCCTTCCCTGAGCCACTTGGCAATCACTAAGAAGGTATGGCCAAAATATAAGGGTAAGCAGTAGTAAGGATACCCAGGTCAGTGAACAAAGCACTGCTGTCTTAAAGCCTCAGGGAAAGAACATTTCTCTCCCTCAGGACCGAGATACTTGTACCACATAGCATTAAAGCTAAACCTCAGTTTGTCTTGATGTCTTACCTACAGTAAGGCCCCAAAATAACACCAAACAGATTTATCTCTATGCTACCTGATGAAGGCAATGCCCCATTCCACTCTCCCTGAAATTTACCTTGCCTCATACCCTCTGGCTCTGGAAATTCAAAAATCTTTTTTCAAAATAAGATCGCTGTGATATGGGTTGACTTAGGCATCTGTCGCAGAGAAGACAAGACCTGCCCTCATCTGCACCAGCTAGATCCTGGTTCCCAGAGCTCAGTCTCCCTGTGGAGGTCCCAGGAATCCTGACATCCTGCCCACATCTCCTCTTGCTCTCCCGGCATAAGCCCCAACTTTCCAGGCTGTGGCCTGTGGGCCTCGGGGATACATGGACCGCTTCCGTTGGGTCTGCCAAAGATAACTCTGAGAAGTCAGCTGGCTCTTAAGTAACTTCAGATTTGCTATCTGTGCTTGTAGAAAACTGCAAATCAGAGAAGTCTGGCTGCCAGCAGGCTGATGCAGCGTAAGCAAGACAAGGTTTGCAGGGCAGGGCAGCATCTTTTATTAGACCATCTCAACGTGATTAGTGAAAGTGAATAAGCTTTCAAGAATGAGGCCTTTCATCAGGTCTGATGAAGAGCAGCAAAACTTAAGCTTAACACAAATGTTGCTCTTTTAAAGTGGAAGAAATTAGTCTAACCTACAAGCAAAGAAATTCCACAGCTTCCTATAAAATCAGCATCTCCTCAGCCACTATCTTCTTGGACAAGGACTACAAATAGCAATGTGTCTTCTCCTCTTCTCTTTTAAAATAAAACTACAACCACTCCCCCTGCATTTGCTCCTCTTTCTCCTTTACAAGTTAGCCCACCACAGGAACTGTCTCTCCGCTCTTTCCGCCCCACTCCCCCACCACGATAAAGGCCTCCTTACCTTCGCTGTCTTGCCTCCCCGCCAAAATGTCTGCACCCACCATTGTTCCTACACCCAGCAAACAGACGGCAACAGCAAGAAAATGGATCAGCCTGTATCTTGCACGGAGAATGAACCACGACAAAGCCATCAGCACAGGAATCCCGAAACAGTCCAGCAGCTGTGTATTAAGAGAAATGGTGTGAATTAGAAACCCACCGCAAATCTGGATTGCCCTATCCTGAAAGCAAATGTTCAGGATCTTACCTTCAGATCAGATGTTAATGAAAGTCACAAAGCAACTCCAGTGGATCTGTTTAAAATAGGGGTCAGACCCACATTTTACCACAAAAAGCATTTTGCAAGTGAAAGACAAGCTGGGGCGAGGCATCCACTCTCTCCTGGTAGGAAGGCACTGATCTAGAAACTCTTCTAATGATGGATCTAATCAACCTTTGCAGCTTCACAAAGTAATGCTAGCATGTTGCTCCGAAACCACATTGCTCCCCAGGACACTGATACAAGGAGGTGGTTCACTGACATCTCCTTTTCTCCCCAGCAGGCTTTGTCTAGCTCATCTTTTCACTCCTCATCAAATCTGTAATTAGAATTTAGGGCTCCATGTACACAAAGTAAAAATCTGGAACTATTAAAGGATAAAAGTGACCTGATTTTATATTATAGTGAATAGGGCAAGAATCTGACCCTGCAATTTTGGTTTGTTTGGTTTTTTTCCCCCAACTGGATCCTACTGAAAAAAAAAGAAAAATTGGTACACGTGCTGGGAACCACATGCAAAATTGGTAGAAGGAAGACAGGAGGGGAAGCACAACCTTCCTAAAGTCTCCTTCCCTGTCTTCCAGCTTTCCACAAAAGCATGTACAAGCCTCCAGTGCAGCCTCATTACTCCGTGAGAGCTGACTCTCCATGAGCCAGAAGCAGCTCACCCGCACCCCAGCAGCAGAGACACGCAAGGCAGCTGGAGTTTCGAAGCACTTTGGATGTGTTTGCAGACACTGCCCCGAGCAGACTTAACGGCTGAGGTTCAAGGATGTCTGCACTCCATGACAAGCAGTGACACCAACTTCTTTCCTTTCTTCATTATCTCTTCTCTGTGTGTTCCTAAAATCCTGTGTGGCTTTGCCTTGTTGTTAGACCCACCCATCTTCTACCCATTCTTCTCTATTACAGAAAATACCAGGAGTTAGCTGTGTACTTAATATAGAAAAACAATGTTCTAGAATAACCAAATAATACCAAAACCACTGAGCTAATCATAATTGGTTTAGTATTTCAATCAATAAAATAAATTTTGGTTCTGAATTTGCCTGGAGAGGAAAAAAATAAAAAAAGGTGTCTTTTCTGACCTGTCTCATTAGAGTGCCATGAAACTATACAAGGGAATGTACTACAGGAGGACATATAGTCAGCCTTCCAAAGACTGCTCACAAATTACTCCTAAATGTCAGCCCTTAAAACCTGGCCTCTTGAAGTCACTACAAAGTATTAGGTCCAGGTCAATAGGACTGGAGCATAATCATTACAAGCAAGATGAAAGCCCTTAGTCCTTAATGTTCATTGTCAACTTCTGCCTGCTTGAGTGCACCACTGCGGTCTTCTTCCCTTAGTTCAGCCATCGTCCCCAAGGGTTTTAACCAAACTCATAAGACTTTCATGGTAAGTTTGGTTTCACTTGTTCGTAACTACACATATTAAAGTCTTACCGGCACAGCATTAAGGGGAATTATTACAGATTAATTTCTAATCCTTTAACCTATTTGTCTTCTTGGCAGCTTGGACTGCCTCCAGCTTGGCCAGTTTGAGAAATCCATGCAAAAGCACTTGCCTAGGCTGTATTAGCAGACATTAGAGCCACACTGGTCCTAATGTGGGATTCCATATATTCCAGTATAAAAAAGTATCATGATGTGAGCTTCTATATAGTCACAGGCCTTTTTCTCTATCTTACCTTTTGTCTAGGATGAAAAAAAAAATTTCTAGTATTTCCTCTGAATTTGACTGGTTTGACTAGTATCAAACAAGTATTATTTATCTGTTTCTGCAAAACATACAATTTAGCTCTCATAACTCTGTTTTTCCACCTTTGATCTGAACCAGTTCTGTCCTGAGTATGGAAATGTAATTGATCTCTCTGGTGTGAAGTTGCAACCACGCAAACTACAAAATATTACAAAAATTAAAAAGCAAAATCTTTACTCCCCTTGTAGCAGACATCCCTTCTATTAATATGTAAGCTTTCAATTTCCCGTTAATTGAGATGTTACCATGTAGCTTTCCAACCTCCAAGCAGTTTTTCAACCCAAATAGAAAGCGTGGAGCAAAAATGCTTAAAAAAAAAAAAATCCTAATTAGGATGTAAGAGAGTACTAGATAACGAGCCACAAGCTCTTTCAGTAACGCCGGATGAGGAATTGCTGCATCCAGACTAGCAGTCTCTAGACATGTGGAGCAGCTACGGCATCCTGGTTCGAAAACTTGCAGCCAGGACACACAGGCACCAAATGATGGAGAACACACCCTGGTAATCAGTTCCAGGGGACAATTACCCTCAATTACAGACAGAAGAAATCTGATTTCCGACTACTGGATCGTGCCTCCCTTTCATCTACTATGTTACAGAGCCCTTTGGTGGGAAATGGTCTCTTCTGTGCAGGATCCGAGATCAAAGAGGTGCAAAGCAGATGTAATATCGCAATGAATTGTGTCAATGGAACCATTTAAAAGAATAAAGTTTAATTCTTCAGGTTTTATGACATTTGCAGCAGTACTGCGGTACTGATTACTATTGCCAGTAGACCCCAGCAAACTCTCATCTTATTCAATTCTAGCCTGTACTTTTACAAAGGAAAAAACATAACCTGGTGATTTGATTTACAAATGCTTTGCCTCAAGCCAGGTTTTAGCCACACTGTTTATAGGAGGCTTTAAAGGTAGGGCGAGTAAATTATTAAAAGATGTTTTAATACATGGTTAATAAATTATCATAGACTGTTGGAGGTCATTGCTTGCTTATAATTGCCAGCTCCAGACAGCTCTGTGAGCAAGAAAGCTCAACAGCTCATCCCACTCGCTTCCCCGCAAGGCTCTCTTAGAGCAGCCTCCAGCTGAGCCCCGGGGGCTCATCCTGCGTTTTCTCCTGTTGAGGTTAACACTCCTCCATCAGCCTGATAGCCTCAACAGCTGCCTATAAAATGCCTCCACTCGAATCATATACGGAGCAAATGCTAATTGTGCCAAATAACATGTCAACAACATGAAACCACAGCTATGCTGCTTGTTTTTTCCTAGGAAATATGTGGTCAAACAGCAGCACAGGCAAGTCCGGCCACCGGCAGCAAGAAGTCTCCCTGGCATTGCCTCAGCCACAGCCAAACAGAAGGGGTTCAGTTGTGCACCAAAGATTTTTTCTTTATTTATGGAGAAATGAGAGCTGCCATCCCAACGTTACCTCCTTAAAAATCTCCCAGCCCCTTCTGTGCAATGCTGGTATTTGATAAGTAAAGGAAAATCAGTTTTGCTTTTCTGTGCGTGTGTGAGAAAATACATGGAAGTTCCTCACTGAGCTGAGATAACTTATCTTTGAAGACAATTTTCACAGGGCTGAGCTGAAGCTTAAGCCAGACAGCGTTTTAACAGTGATTACCCTGAAGGTGCCATACACTCCTCTCTTGCTCTTGCGCTCCCTGGGCACCCACTGACAGCCAGTACTGCAGACAGGCCATCAGGCTGGGTGCTCGGAACCACAGGTTCTGATGTAGCTGCAGAACCGCTTGCTACTGACAGATAGCAAATGCCTTGTACTGGAGCAAATCACAGGCTTTTTTTGTGTCCTGTATCTCATTTCTGACAGGGGTGAGAAACTGGTGACTTCAGAGAACGTGCAAGAAACCTTACTGCAACAGGCAGTTATGACAAATTCACAATTACAGAACTGGCACTGCAAGAAGCATCAGTCTGAAGGTTACCACATAGGAAGAAGGTTCAGCGAGTGCTTGAGTTTGACAACTGGACAGAACAACCTACTGTATCTATTCTTTCTTAATTTCTATGAAAAAAATCATGGTAATAGCTTTACTACTTCTGAGAACTTGGATCAAAGTCCTGGCACTTTCAGCTGTAAAGTATATGATCAAACAGTGTCTCGGTTATCAGCTTAACTTGGTCCTGGACTGAAACATGTCACTCTTAAAGGTTTGATTTCTTAGGCGTTATTTGTGAAGAAATTGAAGGCCTAATGAGTCATAACACTTAAATACAAACTGGAAATGTGACAATAATAATCCACCAGGCACACATTACTGGTCTTTAAATAGTGCAAGGAAAAGTTACGGCAGTTCTCTAAAGGGAGCTGAGACCACAGGAGTTTATTGCTTTACAGGTAATTCCTTTAAATATTAACCCCTGTTACTTTGACTCTGTAAAACACTGACACCTAAACACGCTTTTCCAGCTAACAGCCAGTTCTGCATGGTACATTATTTTTTTATTCAGGCCAGTGGGAACCCCAGCCACAGATCCACCATCAGTAAGAGCAGGCATAGGCTGCCCCAGCCCCGGACACGCTCCCTCCTTGCTTCTGCACCATCCCCTCCCTTCTTCCAGCAGCAGCAGCTGTGGAGCCCCACAGGGAGCTAACTTGGGCCTGACACAGCTCACAGAATCACAGAATGGCAAGGGTTGGAAGGGACTTTGGGAGATCATCCAGCCCAACCCCCCTGTTAAAGCAGGTTCACCCAGAGCAGGTTGCACAGGACATCGTCCAGGCAGGCTTTGAATATCTCCAGAGGAGGACACTCCACAACCCCCCTGGGCAGCCTGTTCCAGTGCTCTGTCACCCTCAAAGGAAAGAAGTTCTTACTCATATTCAGCTAAAACCTCTTATGCTTCAGTTTGTGCCCATTGCCCCTTGTCTTGTTGCTGGGCTCCACTGAGAAGAGTCTGGCTCTGTCCTCATGACATCCACTCTTAAGATATTTGTAAGTATTTATGAGATCCCCTCTCAGTCTTCTCTTCTTCAGGCTAAACAAGCCCAGCTCCCTTCAGCCTTTCCTCATAGGAGAGATGCTCCAGTCCCCTAATCAATCAATCATCCCCTCGCCAATAGCCCAGCAAGAGACAGGGTTTACTCTGACTTTTGCTGAGTGTCCTGAGCCAGTCTGCTGAAGGGATTTGGCCATGCAAGCTCAGGAGCATGCAGCTGGCAGCAGGAACTCTTCCAGCAGCTTATGTCTGTGTAAGGCAACAAAGAAAGCCCAGCCTTAGCCCTCCTGCTCATAGAACTATTTCAGAACACAAGATTTATCCTAGTGCAACGATGCAGCGCCAAGCAGTGGCATTGCAGAGGACGTTTACTGGCACTTCGGAAGCCTGGCACGTTGACCTCCCTTCCGTCTCATCCAGAGAGGGGCCTGAAGTGCCCCATCCAAAAGCTATAGGGCTGGTCCCTCACTGCATTGTCAGCAACACCAGCTAACTATCAGTATGCCCTCACATGTGGGGTTACATCTCAATGCCTTCCACGGTTCTAGGGCTAGGCAGGAGATCTACCTCGCTCTCATCAGCAAGAACCTGTGCTAAGTGAGTGTTACCTGGTCCTAAATCTTTATTTTGTGTCAGGAGAAAAACCTGAGTGGCTGTCAGCAAACTCTTAGAAGTGCTTTCTATTAAAATAATTAGAGTTCAACTCAAGAGCTGGCACAGTGTAATACCAGCCAATTTTCTCTGCTTCCTGGAAATGTTATTCATGATGCAGAACGCTCTTCTCTGTACTGCAGAGAGAAAAATAGATATTGGAAAGCTTTTTCAGGCTTAAATCGCTTCCGTGTCTGTCCTGTGAATCTCATTTCAGAAACAGGTCCAAAACTGCAATAAAAGCAACAGTTCAAAAAGAGAGATCAGTCCTTACCTGCACACTTGTGAGGGTCGTGTATTGGTAGGCTTTTACAATCATGTAATTGGCTTCAACATCAGCCAGTCCCAAAAAAATATACTTCCACCACCTCTGTTTCAAAATTTGCCAAAGACTGTCACTGCCTGTTTAGAAGAAAGCAGCAATCAATATGTGTTTCTTTCCAACCAAATGTTGCACAGGAATCTCGCTTTTTAGAAGCATAAATAATACTGAGACGTTTGATTTTGTTTGCCCCTGCTTAGGCAAGATACAATAACTGCAAACTGCAGCCCGGGAGGAGACAACGCAAATGGTGAAAAGCACAGAAATTCTTCCACATGAGGGAGAAAACCAGACTAGAGTTGTTTAAAGAGTAAATTAATAAGCAGCAGCTTGTTACAACAAAGCCTCTTTTCCCCAACATAACAGGACTTGAAACCAAAGAGCACATAATTTTAAACAGATACGAAATGAAATCAAATTAAATGCACATTTAACCTGTGAAATTAATTTCCATGTGTTATTACAA